CAGCTATTTTTGAGAAAGGCATTTGAAAACACCACTAACTTAGGTATCACTTTCATGCAAGGCGCAGTTAAGCTGCCAGTATTGCAAATTTGATGTGTAGTGAATCTCATGTGAATTTAAATGGATGCCCAAAATTACAGTAAAGATATTCAAACCGGATATGAAAGTTGCAGCCTTTTGATGTAGTAAAGGGTAAGGTACCATCGTCTCTTTCTCATGTAACAGTCTGCCCAGTAGAATAGAGTCGGCGCTCTGCATTGGCAGATTGATTCCTCCTGCTGTCAGTGTTGCAGCAGTAGCAGCAGCAGAGGCAGAAGACGATCCGATCAGGTGGAAAGCGCTACCACTGAGGTGGGGAGAAATGCTACCACCGGGGGCGCCGGATTGAGCGAATGCGCCGGGCGCCAGGAGACCGCTCTGGCCCACCCCCGGGGCTGGTGGATGACCTAGGCGTGACTGCGTTTTTGCCAGTTGTCCTGTAGATCCCGGTGTTTTATGCGAAAGGCTGGGGAACAGCGGGAATGTGGCCAACTGAAAGGAGACAAAAATCCTACTGTGCGCGCGACACCTAAAAGTCTCATGAAATGAAAACCGAGTGAACTGTGATTGGTCTGATGTAATGGCTCTCAGACATTTCCAAATGGCACTCCGAATTCTCTAAAACCGTAACACTACTTAGCGATTGGATGGAGTTGTCAAACGTTCAGAAACTGAAACAGATGTTTTTCTGTTACTTGAGCAATATATCCACGCTGTTTATTCCTCCCTTAAAAATTTATGAAAGATGGCAGTAAAGTTACATGTTTGACATTATAAAGATTCAAACATAAGATTTGAAGGTGAATGTTCGGAAGCAATCTATTTACAGTTAAGTGAACACCAGGTGCATTAGTTTTACCAGCTCAAGGTTCTCGTTAAGCTAAAACTGGTGAATTTCAAGAGCTGATAATGCATTCATTTGTTGCGTTCAAAGGCGAAAGAATGAGGAAGTTAATTAAAAAATGTTTGAAGTAACCCATCACCATCCAGCGGGGGAATCACAACTAAGGAATTC